TAGAAACATGTATAGTCAAAAAGTAACGAATTGAAAACCCTTTTCACTAGCGAAATAAAAAACGGGGGTTTCCACTTGAAAAAAATGATTTATGATTTTTTTTATTCGCTCATTTCTATGACAGAACATTCGAACAATTGCATTTTTGAAATAGATAGCTAGAATTTTAATTATTAATGTCATATTTTATGGTATTTTAAAATGTTAAGAAAGCACAAAATTTATTTAGGTCAATGCTACAGAAAAGGTTAATTTTTCCTAGTAATTGAAACTAAGTAAGGAAGCGCTTGTAAGAAGAAAAATTGTTATTTCAAACAATTTTGATATTTTAGAAAAAATCATCTTTATACAAGGTGTTTAACAAGTATAACGTATAATTGAAAATGGCAATTTATTCCACTAATTTCTAGGTTATATATGTATAAAGCCTTATGGCAAAAGTAGTCTTTAAACACCCATTTCACTCAACACTAATAGTTAAAGAACGAACTAAATAATGTTTTATTCTAGTTTATTTATTTTTAACTTGGAATTCATCAAGATTCCGCTTAAAGGGACAATTTTCTTTAATGTGGTAGATAAAAAGTTTCGCCCTTAACGATAATATACATCGACACAGGCGCGCATTATAAAATATGTATTAGAATTTTGAACTTTTACAATTTCGAAACTTATATAACGACCTTAAATCTAGAAGTTTTACTACTGCCGTTTAAAAAGTTCTAAACTGAACGAAAATTATGAGCAAATCGATAAAGATATGCGCTTTTGAGGAGAGGGTATTTTTTTCGAACCCATATTTTCGTAGATAGTTTAGTTCTCATGATGTAACTTTTATCATTACGGAGAAAGATGATCTGTCATTAGTTAAAATTAGTTTTTAATGATTGAAATAGTTGGCCATGCTGATATTGCTCGTTTTGTTGGCAATAGATATGTAACAGTGAAATTCGGAAATTCAGTGATTGTTAACATTCACTAGGAAATGCTAGCAATTACGCATTGGACCAGTGAATGTGGTATTTCAAAGAGATTTGTCGATTTTTCCTAGTAATTTCTAACATTCACTAGTGAAAGTATCGAGGAAAGTACCATTTACTAAAGGTTGCCAGTAAAAGCCATTCTATTGTACAGGGTGAGTATGGTGAGGAAGAATGTTGGTGGCAGTTAGAACAAATAAAAATGTTAAGAATATTGGATCACCTCAACATTCAAGCTGATCCGAAACCTTAAAACTACAATTTATTTCTTTAGTATATTTATTAAAAATTATAGAAAATAACGACATATCCTTCTAAATATTAAAAGAGAAAACATAGTAAATATTTTAAAGCGTACAAAACAATTTAAAAAATCATTCATAAACATAAGATTATTTATTGGTACAAGTTTTTTTTAATAAAGTTCTTCATCGTGGACAGAATAAAGTATGCCCGAATTTTCTTCAATGGGAGTTATTCGTTTTTTCAAACCCGCTACTTCAAGCATATTAAAACGTTTAATAAATTCATAGTCACTAGATTCCTTAATATATTTTCCTCTTGCACGCTTAACTTTTGCTATGACTTCATTATATTGCAAAAATTAAAAACAAGCACTACATTCTTGCGAATGCCTAGTTTATCTTAATTTTACGCAAAAAATTTCTTCTAAATGAAAAATACCGAGGAAAATACCGCACAGCACTTTTTACAACGATAACAAAACAATTATACATAACATAACGTTGCCAACATTAAGCCCGATTTAATGTTATCCTTATATTGCCTATTATTTAACTTATCCCAGACTATCCTATTTTACATGTGGCAACCGCGCAACTGAATCTTTCAAACTCACTGCTAGCGTCCAGGAAATGCTAACATTCACTAGTAAAAGTTGGTTTCAAAAATAGCTGTTGAACTTTTACTGGCGTAGTCTCGACAAATCAGCCAATGTGAGCTTTTACTAATAATAATTGTTAACAATCACTGTGATTTCCAACTTTTATTGTAACAGATATAAGAAATTTGAGTATTTATCTATAATATCTTATATATTATGTTATAACTAGTCGTCAAAACAAACCAGAAATTATGTAATATCGTTCATTAAAGAAATAAAAAGATGTGCAACCTTATGGGCGATTTCGTGGCACAAAATGTACGAGATATAGCTAGCGTTACCGTCAGACTGTCCGAGATTTAGTTTAGCTCTGCGCCGCTGCGCACTGATAGTCGTTTACAGCGCAGCGGATAAAGGATACTGTACAGGATGAGTCAACGATAGAGTAAAGTCCATTATCTCATTTGTTTCGAGGTTTACAAAAAAATGTTAAATACAAAAGTTATAGGAAAGGTTAAGATACACATTCTAAAATTATTATAGAGTATACAGGGTCTTTCAAAAATGTATGGCGGATATAACATATGTTTTTTTAAAGGCAACACCCTATTTTTTATTTTATTTTTAGATTCTGCGTAAAATTCTATAACTTTCTTATATATAATGTTATATACCTAAAATTAATAGTTTTTGTAATATTTAAATTTGTTTATACAAATGTTAAATTGCAATGTGGTAAAAAATTGTCAGTTGTACCATTGTTTCTGAAGTTGGTATACCAAAATTTGGTATGAGAGTTCTATAGAGATTAAAAAGAAGATATATGTTAAGATATTTTAGTTGAATGCTACAGGGTGTTCAAAATATATTTATGAATTTCAAATATTTAAAATTAAAAAATTTCAAATTTTTTAAATGGTACACCCTATATATTTTGATTTTTTCTGATAGATTTTGCAAAGCTCTTCAACTTTTATTAAGTATGTCATATACCTATTTTTAATAGTTTGCGATTTATTTCAATTTCTTTTATTTTTACCCTAATTTTTAATACAATTACGCTATAACATCATAGTTGCCGTAACAAAACAAACATATTTATTACTTATTTTTAACAAGTAGTTTAATAATTAATTACAATTGTTATTATTAGTCAAAATTAACTAACTTTACTCAAATAAATTAAAATCGTTGTCGTGAATTTCTTGGTGTATTTCTATATTATGAAAGATGACATTTGGATTTTCCGTTGGGCCGAATAGCCACAGATTAGGGTAATACTAACTAGATTACCTAATTGTTGACGACTACTGATATTGAAATTTTCTCCGACATACAGTAATTTTTTTTTTCTCGTAGTAATTCTGGTTTATAATTCATTTCGTAAAGCCAATATTACTACTGCCACAAAACCGTCCCATTACACACTGAAAATATTATAATATAATATAATATGAAAACGTTTTCTAGATAATCTACATCTATTCTTATAGTACTTAGTAAAGTACTATATAATATATAGTACTGAACCAAAAAATCTGATTATTTTGGCTTGTTCTTGTATATCAATCACATTGACTAATCCATTTTCAGGAAAATCTGAAACTATTACCTCTACCTCAATTCACCTTTTGTTCTTAATTTGCTTAACAGACATATGAAATTTTAATAATAATCATTATTTTTTGTCATGGCAACTATGATGTTATAGCGTAATTGTATTAAAGATGTGGCTAAAAATAGAAAAAATTGGAATAAATCGCAAATTATTAAAAATAGGTATATGACATACTTAATAAAAGTTGAAGAGCTTTGCAAAATCTATCACAAAAAATCAAAATATATAGGGTGTACCATTTAAAAAATTTTAGATTCTTTAATTTTAAATAGTTGAAATTTATAAATATATTTTGAACACCCTGTAGCTTTTAACATATATCTTCTTCTTAATCTCTATAGAACTCTCATACCAAATTTTGGTATTCCAACTTCAGAAACAATGGTACCACTGACAATTTTTTACCACACTTCAATTTAACATTTGTATAAACAAATTTAAATATTACAAAAACTATTAATTTTAGGTATATAACGTTATATACAAAAAAATTATAGAATTTTACGCAGAATCTAAAAATGAAATAAAAAATAGGGTGTTGTCTTTAAAAAAACATATGTTATATACGCCACACTTTTTTGAAGCACCCTGTATACTCTATAATAATTTTAAAATGTGTATCTTAATCTTTCGTATAACTTTTGTATTTAACATTTTTTTGTAAACCTCGAAACAAATGAGATAATGAACTTTACTCTATCGTTGACACACCCTGTACTGTAGTTCTGCTTTCAGTCGACAGAGTGGGCGATTGTCGGAGACAACGGATTTTGATTTGTAAATGTCAATAATCGTCATTTCCAAGCCAATTAAATTACGTTTTTCAATTATACGAAATATTCAGTACATTTAAAAGAATTCTTATTTTTGTTGTTTATTCTATGTTTAACACGAATAAATTTTCAATACATAAACACGAATTTTTCATCCAAAGATATTTTTGTCAAACGTATTACAGATATTACACACGTAATAAACTCGTAATAGAAATCTAAAGTGTCAAAAAGAATGACAATGTCAGGAACCAAATAAATTAATGTGGAAACTTGACATTTTTTATAGCAAAGCTACCCCTGAATCCCGAGCGGAAAATTTAAATTCCAGTTAGTCAGCCATGCCCCGAATATGTCCAGTGGCGTAGCAAGGTGGGGGCGGCCCGCCCCGGGCGGCGACCCTCCAAGTACCTGCGGGGCGACAAAAAATTGTTATAAAGGCGGCGAACAGATTCCATAGGGGCGACAAATCTCCCTTCTACAGGCTCCCACCCCGGGCGCCCCTAAGCCACGCTACGCCACTGAATATGTCCATGGTTGGCAACAATGAATTTAAAAATTGCGCTCTCGATTACGTAATTAAAAGTTTAACTAGTATCGCTTATATATTATAAAATTCGATTTAAACAACCGAAAGTTATATAAATAGGTAGGAAAAAAGTTAAAAAATCTTATGGTATGATAGTATCCACAAAATATTCATTTCTCTAGCATTGGTATATTTTGAAAGTAAGTTACTTAAGTAATAGTTTTCATTTTATAAAAAATTATATTTCTAGACTTACCTCGTTATTGGCGAATGATGGTATTATGGGTCCGTCATTTGACTCCCACTTGTTAGCTATCCTTATAGTCTCTGCTGTCTTTTCCTGTACAGATTTGTTCTCATCTAGTAAAGTCAATTCGTAGAACTCTTGGATATCTATAACAAAAAAATACAATAGATAATCAAAATTCATATTTTACGAAGTAAGTTTCGAGAAAAGTAAGTATAAATATTAAACGTTCGAAAAATTAAAATTAACTCAAGGAAAAATGTTTACATATGAATTTAAAAAAAATAAGACTCTGTTCATTACCCCTATAACGTAATAGCATATTTTTTGTAAATGTGCTAAAAAAACATCAATAGTCTCTAAAGAATTCAAACTATTGATTTTATTTGAAATTTCATAAATAAAAGAGATATTAAAAAAATCGCAAAACTGACAATCAGTTTTTTTTCTGCTGAAAAAAAAACGTTCTTTATGTTTCGTTCGGTTCGGAATTTTTATGGATTGAAGAAATAATTGGCAAAATCTGCAGACCAAGCTGGAATATATTCAGTAGCGTTTTTTTTGCGGAATCGCCAAAAAACAACGAAAACCCCGTTCCTGACAAAATGGCGAAACATTTCTATAGTCTTACTAGCAATTATTTATTGGAGCTTTTTTTTCAAAGTGATATATTTTTGGAATGAGTATGGACCAGCTTTATATAAAAATCCTTTCTATATAAAGTTCTTTTTTTTGCCTATCTGTTCCAATTATTCATGTCTTACATTCTTGGAACAACATCATTTTTTATTTTGTTCATTTTTAACCATGTTTCGTGCAATATTTTTTTAAATTTACATTTATATATATTTTTTAATAAATTTAAGAACGTAAATAATATATTATACAGCGTGTTTCAAAAAATATGTGCCATCTCTTGTGGGGAGATTCATCAAGTAAAAATAAGATTTTTTTTATCAACATAGACGATTCACCAATTCTGCTTTGTTTCGTAGATACACGGGGTTAAAATCTTTATTTATTTTCGATTTATTATAATTATCTTAATCAAATTTTGTACAAATTCGTGCATATGGATTATCACTGCATTATTTAGTATCAAATTCATTAACAACGTCATTCAAAGTGCCTCAAGTTAATATATCATAAATCATGTATCATATAAAAATCTTCTTATCGAAAATTATATTACTTTCGATGATGCTACACAGAAGTTACACATTTGACAAATAACAATATTGTCAAATACATCTCAACCTATATTCATCAATGTCTCTGAATATTGACGAAGCTGTCAAACACATTGATCCAAAATGGAAGATTTTGTAGAAGAAATAAACATACAGGACGACAAAACCAAACTGGATAGAGAAAATTATGATCAAAATTCTCCTAGATATCTAGACGATAACCAAAGAGAATCCACCCATCCCTTATCCGAAAACCCCATTTATTTCTACCAGACAACTGAAGAGAAACAGTTTCCAAATGTACCACCTCCAACTCCCAAGGAACTTATAATTGATTTATATGTCACTGTGCTACACAACATACCAGATTCTGTAGATTATCTAAGCATACCCTACGTAAGGGAGCATGGTGATCGAGACTCCATACAACTAATATCCGAATATTTTTCTTGTCGAGACTACAAAAACAATTTAGTACAGTTCTGGTTTCTTGATATAATCGTTGATTGCATTTGGAAACTACAAGACGAGTTTAGATTTCCAATAGATCAGCAAAAAGTCGTTCTAGAATGGATACTGTTTATATTTATGCTAATTATTCTTGAAGAAATGAATAGAGATTTACTCTTTGACATTTTTAACGAAGCTCTAATGATTGCCGAAAATTACATACAATCGGGATGTTTAAAACAACCCATACCAAAAAATATTTTTGTTCTGAAAGAAGAACAAGATGGAGAAGCAATGGAAACTAGAGCAAGTGTGGTTTCTGCATTATCAGAAACATCAACAACCTCATTGAAAGTGACTCAAGCTAAACCTTCCTATCAATATGTTTTGATAAAGTACGACCAGGAATTCAAAATTTTTAGTATCTCATAAAAATCTTCTATCGAAAATTCTATTAATTTCGGTGACACTACTAGAAGTTACACATTTGACATATAACAATCTTGTCAATTACATCTCAACCTATATTCATCAATGTCTCTGAATATTGACGAAGCTGTCAAACACATTGATCCAAAATGGAAGATTTTGTAGAAGAAATAAACATACAGGACGAAAAAACCAAACTGGATAGAGAAAATTATGATCAAAATTCTCCTAGATATCTAGACGATAACCAAAGAGAATCCACCCATCCCTTATCCGATAATCCCATATATTTCTACCAGACAACTGAAGAGAAACAGTTTCCAAATGTACCACCTCCAACTCCCAAGGAACTCATAATTGATTGCTATGTCACTGTGCTACCCAATATACCAGATTCTGTAGATGATTTACCCATACCTTACGTAAGGGAGCATGGTGTTCGAGACTCCATACAACTAATATCAGAATATTTCTCTTGTCGAGACTACAAAAACAATTTAGTACAGTTCTGGTTTCTTGACATAATCGTTGATTGCATTTGGAAAGTACAAGACGAGTTTAGATTTCCAATAGAACAGCAGAAAGTCGTTCTAGAATGGATACTGTTTATATTTAAGCTAATTATTCTTGAAGGAATGACTAGAGATTTACTCTTTGACATTTTCAACGAAGCTCTAATGATTGCCGAAGATTACATACAATCGGGAGGTTCAAAACAACCCACACCAAAAAATCTTTTTGTTCTGAAAGAAGAACAAGATGGAGAAGCAATGGAAATTAGAGCAAGTTTGGTTTCTGCATTATCAGAAACATCAACAACCTCATTGAAAGTGACTCAAGCTAAACCTTCCTATCAGTATGTTTTGATAAAGTACGACGAAGAATTCAAAATGTTTAAAGTGCCTAACAAAAATCTTCCTGTCGAAGATTGTTTATCTTCCGTTGGCGCCCCTTCAGAAGACGGATATCAAATAAAAGAAAATGTAACTGAGTCAAAAAGTGATCTTCAATCAGAAGTAACAAAAACAAATTCTTCGATGGATTTTATCAAGGTAGATATGTCAACTCCACCAAGATTTAAATCTTTGCAATCCTTAACAAAGAGTGAAGACGATGCATCTACTGGTGAGGAATCTGGTGAAACAGAATCTGAACATGAAAAGAAATGGTAAGTTATTTTGACAAAGGAAATTTCAACTGAAATACAGTTTTTCGAAATATTTTTAGGATAAGTATTCCAAGAAAAGAAGAGATAAATTGTCCTAGTAAAACACTTCATGAAGAAATTAGCAGTAAAGTCGATGAAACAAATACAAAAGAAGTTAGATCAAAAAAAGAAGTTTTAGAAGAAGTATTTCGGGCCTTTTATGAGTATAATTTGTGGCAGCTTGAGCAAGAATACACAAATAACCCGAACATTGGGTGGATTTCATCTCTGACAAAAAAGACAGGGTTTTCAAATTATGACAAAACTTCTAAAAAAGGAAAACAAGTCCCTAATAAAAGACATGAAGGTTCTGGTGATATTCCCCAAAGTATATTTGTCAACTCCTGTGTGCTGTTGGCTGTGAAAGACATAGTTTTTGACTACTTTTATATAAATTTTTGTTTCGAACTGATAAAACATGTGTTTAAAAACCCTCAATTTTTAATCACTCAAGACCTAAATACCGAATGGAATATCCCTAAGGATATAAAAGGAGACTTAAAAAAACCTATGCCAAAGAAGCCCAAAAAGGAAAAACCAAAAAAAGAGAAAAAAGAGAAAAAAAAGAAAAAAGAAAAAAAAAGTTCGAAAGGTAAATCTACAAAAGGCAGTAAGAAAGACAAAAGCAGCAAGAAAAGCAAAAGTTCAAAGAGCACTAAAAAGAGTAAAAAAAGTGACAAAAAAAGTAAAAAAGGTAGCGATAAAAAAAGTAAATCTTCTTCTAAAAAAAGTACAAAATTGACTAAAGAAGAAAAAGCGGCGCTCGATAAAGAAAGAAAAGAGCGCGAGGAAATCGAAAGACTAAAAATGAAAGAAGAAGAAAATAAAATTTTCATGTTTCCTCTAAAAGAAGCGGTAGATGATGCTTTTTTTGCCGGTATATTTCCAGATTATAAACCGAAAAAAGGCAAAGAAAAAGCAGGCAAAAAAGATAAGAAAGGCGATAAAGATAAATCATCTAAAAAAGCAAATCCTCCAAAAAATAAGTAAAGGGAAAAAATAACAAAAAAAGTTTTATATCTATTTTATTTCATTTTTATTTTTATATTACGATGCGGCAAAAACAGTTGTTGCCGTATATATCTCCATTAAAATATTATAACGTATTATACCGTCTAGACATGGAAAATATATGACTCTAATAAAATCCGAAAAAAATATCATTCACTGATGTTTCATTATAATTAATATATTTGATAAATTCAGAAATTAAGGTAGAATAATGGATGGATACTTTAATGTAATATTCGCACTTATTTATTTTTGAAACGAAGTCATATCAAGATTATCTCAAAAGCACTTTAGAAAATTTGGTTATTTTTTACAGTTATTATTATGTAGGTATATTCTGGCAGGAAGACATTAATATCGTCCTTGTTTTGTCGACCAGATGGCGACTGTAATGGACTCATCTTAGAATGTAAAATATAATGAGAAAGGTTTATAAGTTGTAGATGAGAGCAGTGAATCTTCTGACTTCATTATTTCATCTCTTTGTGTATGATTTTTATGTTGGTTAAGTCGTACATTTAGAGAACGTTTTATCTCTCTTCAACATATGACTCAATGCAATCGCAAGGTACCTTGTAGATACAGTTTTCTCTTGCTTTGATGATTCCGCTTTTTTTTGTTAAGATACTCTTTAAAGTAGTCGCAGACTTAAGAACGGTTTGATTGGTGTGGCAAAACTCGCGTCCAGTGTAAAAGTAAAGTGTTTTGGTGTATTGTGGTGAATTAGTGCTTTATTTTACCCAACCATTATAAAATTCAAATTGTTCTTAAGTCTGGGACCAGTTTAAAAGAGTATCTTAACAAACACAAAACCGGATTCATGAAAGCTACGGATTCCAACCCCTAATTGTAATCTGTT